TCTCTCACTCACACACACACACTGTAATGAGAAATAAATGTTGCTTTTATACAGTTTAAACAAATGTTCTGATCAGGATTCCTGCTGGAGGTTTTTAAATGTCAGCGTGTCCACGTTGGTCTGATCACACTGGATTTTAAGCTTTGTGCTGCGGGGAAACTTTGAGGAGAAAAAGGGCAAAGAAAAGCTTCATTCATTTTATTTCCTGACTGTCTTTTAGTGCCTTTATCTCATTTTGTCAGTCGGGAAATAACACAAGTCCAGTACTTTAAAATGTTCTGAATCACAAAGGGAAAAGCAACGGATCACCAGGAACACATATCATATCACATATTGCACAGGTAGAAGTGTTCTGTTCCGTGGTGTTCCGTATGTTCTGTCCAAAGTGTATCATCTAATGAAAAGATGAATGTGTGTGACGTTAATGTGTGTGTGTGTGTGTGTGTTTCTGAAGGGCTGCGCCTCCTGGAAGTGGTACTTCCCGTTCCACTACGCTCCCTTCGCCTCCGACTTCAAAGACATCAAAGGGATGTTCGACGACTTCGAGAAGGACACTAAACCGGTAAAAACATAGAACGTCTTCTCTGTTTTCTGTCTCTGCTGTTTCGTCTCATCACACTCCAAAAAGTATTGGAAAGAATCGCTGATATGCAATCATGTAAATTGCGATACAACAAAATATAAAACTCACTTCCATATGCATCACATCTATTTTAAGAAGTGGGTTCTGCTGGTGCATTTAAATCAATCTGAGACATCCAATATTATTGTCACTACTTGATGTTCAATATACACAAAAAGATCAGAGTAACACCAAACATAATATCACGATACTCACGTGTTGATGTTTCCAATGACCCTTAGAAAACTAACTTAAAGGGGACCTCTCACGCCAAATGCACTTTTTGATTTCTTTTATAAATCATGTGTCCCCGCCGGTAGGGTTGCAAAATTCCGGGAATTTTCAAAGATGGAAACTTTCCAAGGGAATAAACTGGGAATTTTCTAATTTGAAGGTTCTTCATAGGGAACTTAAATATAGTTGGGGAAAGTACATTTTAGCATAATCTTGACTAAAACAAACAGATGCCATTCAACACTTGAATATCCATGCCATAGCACACGGCTCACTGCATGGCTATTGAGACCACGCCCCCTACAGGCACTGGGCATTCCTCCATCACATGCACAGACGAGTCATATTTAACTCAACATTCCTGTTTTCGTTCTTCAATGAAACAAATAATTGTTCAATAAAAATGTTTAAACTTGTTCTGTTCTACTTTAAAAATAAAAAATAAATCTGTTGAAATGTCATGTTTTTGTTTAATTTTGCATCGAATATTTCCAAAATTCCCCAGCTTAACTTCCCATGGAAGCTTTCCACCCCTTTGCAACCCTACGCAGGACAGATGATATTTTTATCATGTGGATTGGTTGTTCAGCTCTATTTCAAGCCCAGCAGCATCTGCTCAGTACCCCTGTTTTCAGGCACAGAGGGGAAACACATTCCCACACTCACAAACTCCATACAAGCTCTCTGTGCCCTTTAGCAGAGTTTATGTTTACTCAGCACGATCATAATTCTAGTTTTACAGTTTGATGGAACCACCAGATGTGGAGCGAGCAGGGGTACAGTAACACCATATTCCTCGCTTAT